TGCTGGATAACAAACAACCGGGAAACACAGGTGCTGGATAACAAACTACCGGGAAATACAGGTGCTGGATAACAGCTACAGAGAAATGAAGATGCTGGACTAACAACTACAGGGAAATACAGGTTCTTGACTATTAACTACAGGGAAATACAGGTGCTGGACTACCAACTACAGGGAAATAAGGTGCTAGACTAACATCTACAGGGAAATATAGGTGCTAGACTAACAACTACAGGGAAATACAGGTGCTTGACTACCAACTACAGGAAAATGAGGTGCTAGACTAACATCTACAGGGAAATACAGGTGCTTGACTACCAACTACAGGAAAATAAAGGTGCTGGACTACCAACTACAGGGAAATAAGGTGCTGGACTACCAACTACAGGGAAATACAGGTGCTTGACTACCAACTACAGGAAAATAAAGGTGCTGGACTACCAACTAAAGGGAAATAAGGTGCTGGACTACCAACTACAGGGAAATAAGGGGCTGGACTACCAACTACAGGGAAATAAGGGGCTGGACTACCAACTACAGGGAAATAAGGGGCTGGACTACCAACTACAGGGAAATACAGGTGCTGGACTACCAACTACAGGGAAATAAGGTGCTGGACTACCAACTACAGGGAAATACAGTTGCTGGATAACAAAATATAGGGAAATACAGGTGCTGGATAACAAACTACAGGGAAATAAGAGTGCTGGACTACCAACTACAGGGAAATACAGGTGCTGGACTACCAACTACAGGGAAATACAGTTGCTGGATAACAAAATATAGGGAAATACAGGGGCTGGATAACAAACTACAGGGAAATACAGGTGCTGGATAACAAAATATAGGGAAATACAGGTGCTGGATAACAAACTACAGGGAAATACAGGTGCTGGATAACAAACTACCGGGAAATACAGGTGCTGGATAACAAACTACCGGGAAATGAAGATGCTGGACTAACAACTACAGGGAAATACAGGTTCTTGACTATTAACTACAGGGAAATACAGGTGCTGGACTACCAACTACAGGGAAATAAGGTGCTAGACTAACATATACAGGGAAAGATAGGTGCTAGACTAACAACTACAGGAAAATGCAGGTGCTTGACTACCAACTACAGGAAAATAAGGTGCTAGACTAACATCTACAGGGACATACAGGTGCTAGACTATCAACTTCAGGGAAATACAGGTGCTGGACTACCAACTACAGGGAATTACAGGTGCTGGACTACCAACTACAGGGAAATACAGGTGCTGGACTACCAAGCATTCTTACAATTATTGGTTTTGGGATTTGTATGAAGACAATGCGTTGACAGATAGACAAATGACGCCGGAGGAACACAGCACCACATCCGGACGTATCTATATAAACCCTTAACTTCCTTCACTCAACCCGACCGTCGTCATACGACGGGACATGTTGACAGATGAATATGTGTTGACCTGATTTCTAGTATTTCCGGAGGTGGAGGAGCTGTCGTACATCAATGCCAAAATGTGCAGATAAAACTTGTCCTCTATATAATCGATGTCCGTAAGGTTGAGAGCCCAGCTAATCAACACAATGTACAACTGTCAGACGTCTTCCTGGACATTAGGGGATGGTTTGTAATTATCAAATACGATGTCATTCTAACGCTCCGTGAATACATGTTCAACTCAATGCTCGCAACCCAGCATTAGCGGTCAAAAATACTTTAAGTATAATTACCCTTCTTTAATTTTAAATCTTAAAGTTCCTTAAAAATTCAACTCTTTGTTACTCCCTTTCCGTGAACGGCTTTGTCGAATTATCAATGGAAAGAAGTATTAAGAACAGATACAGTTGGGAGCACTGTAGTTAACGCTGAAGTGAACTCGAGTGCACTTCAATATTCCGTCTAGTGCATAACCATGTTCATTACTTGTGCACTACAAAGTATATCACAAAGGGCCCTACAAAGTACACTACGAAGTACACTACAAAGTACACTACAAAGTACAGTACGAAGTGCACTACAAAGTACAGTACGAAGTGCACTACAAAGTACAGTACGAAGTACACTACAAAGTACAGTACGAAGTGCACTACAAAGTACAGTACGAAGTGCACTACAAAGTACAGTACGAAGTACACTACAAAGTACAGTACGAAGTGCACTACAAAGTACAGTACGAAGTGCACTACAAAGTACAGTACGAAGTACACTACAAAGTACAGTACGAAGTGCACTACAAAGTACAGTACGAAGTGCACTACAAAGTACAGTACGAAGTACACTACAAAGTACAGTACGAAGTGCACTACAAAGTACAGTACGAAGTGCACTACAAAGTACAGTACGAAGTACACTACAAAGTACAGTACGAAGTGCACTACAAAGTACAGTACGAAGTGCACTACGAAGCGCACTACGAAATACAACACAAAGTGTACAACAAAGTACACTACAAAGCACACTACAAAGTACACTACAGCGTACACTACAAAGTACACTTCAAAGCACACTACAAAGTACACTACAACGTACACTAAAAAGTACACTACAACGTACACTACAAAGTACACTTCAAAGCACACTACAAAGTACGCTACAAAGTACACTACACAGTGCACTATAAAGTATACTACAAAGTAAACTACAACGTTACAAAGTATACTACAAAGTACACTACAACGTACACTACAAAGTACACTTCAAAGCACACTACAAAGTACACTAAAAAGTACACTACAAAGCACACTACAAAGTACATTTCAAAGCACACTACAAAGTACACTAAAAAGTACACTACAAAGTACACTACAACGTACACTACAAAGCACACTACAAAGTACATTACAAAGTACACTACGAAGTACACTACAAAGTACACTACAAAGTACACTACAAAGCACACTACAAAGTACACTTCAAAGCACACTACAAAGTACACTAAAAAGTACACTTCAAAGCACACTACAAAGTACACTTGATACTGTACCAATTTTAGTTGCTCCTAACTTGAGTTTCCCATTGAAATTAAGATTCTAAGGTGTTTATTTCGAGGACTGTTGAGACCACTGATATGAATTTGAATTAAATTTTATGAAAACAGGTGTAATTTGTGACTTTGTAGTTAATTGAACATATAAAAATGATACAAATATATTCCTTCATCGACTTTCATTTGATGATTTTCGATCAACTTATGGTAAATGTCATCCAACTGAAGTATTTAAAGAAGAGGCTGGTAGCGCGACCTATTATTCTGACGACGGCATCAGGATAACTTGATTAGGACTCCAGATTAATGACAGTTTACATTTGGTGTTGTACGTCATCGCCACAGGTTCTGGTGGTTTTGTACGTCATCGCCACAGGTTCTGGTTTTGTACGTCATCGCCACAGGTTCTATGGAGACGGTCTTTACGGAAGTTGGAGTCACTCAGCGACAATCTCACTGAACATCATAAACTGGACACAGTAGCGTGACATTTCACATGGTAGTATCATAGTGATAACGGGCTTACCGGTCTTTCATTTAAAGCTGAACTTGAAGCCATCCTTGACGACCGGGGAAAACGAAAAGAAAACATATGACTGCCTGTTTCATAAGAGGCAATCAATGAGGGAACGCTATACAAAATGAGATGGTTTTTGCTCCATACGAAGCGGTAAAAACGCATTAAAACATAATCGCCTGCACCATTGCAACATATGGGATACATGCTGTTAATCTCCGTTCACACCTTACATTAGTTGGTAACGGGATAGATATGCCCTCCATCCCCGACATAGTGAGGATAGTTAACACGAAGGAGACAAAGAAACGTAAACAAGTTTGTGTTCCTAGAGAAACAATGGAAAAAAAAGAAAGAGTAAAAAAGAAAGAAATTTTACGTCATGGGTGAATGCTTATTTCTCTTTGTCGAAATACGATAGTAAAAACTCTTTTTAGCTCACCTGGTCCGCTGGGAACACTGAGCTTGTATGATTATGTCATGGGGCAGCGTCCGTTGTCCATCCGTCCGTCGTCTGTCAACTGTTTCCTGTAAAACGCTTATTTATTCCCTCAGGTCTCGGTGGATTTTGACCAAATTTAGTCAACGGATGGCGTGGCCTACTTGGGACAGATATCCGGGACCAAATAGGGGGGAAAGGTGGTAAGTCTTTAAAACCCTCTCCATCTATACCAACGAAGGCATATACACCAAATTTGTTGAAGAACATCTTTGGGCAAAAGGGATTCAATTTTGTATCAACCCCCTAATGGGGGAGAAGAAAGGTAGAATACTTCTTTGTAGAGTGAGACTTGTGTTGGTATATTAAGAAATCTGAATGATTGAGGAATGGACAATTATTGCAATTGTGAAGAGAAATGTGTACAAACACTTTTTTTTATATAAATAAGATCCACTTGTTTGTCAGACCCATCCCTAATGACAGGCTCCCAGGTTCTACCAGGTATGGACCTATCACTGATGACAGACTCCCAGGGTCTACCAGGTATAGACCCATCCCTGATGACAGGCTCCCAGGTTCTAACAGGTATAGACCCATCCCTGATGACAGGCTCCCAGGTTCTAACAGGTATAGGCCCATCCCTGATGACAGGCTCCCAGGTTCTACCAGGTATAGCCCCATCCCTGATGACAGACTCCCAGGGTCTACCAGGTATAGACCCATCCCTGATGAGAGACTCCCATGGTATACTAGGTATAGACCCATCCCTGATGACAGACTCCCATGGTATACTAGGTATAGACCCATCCCTGATGACAGACTCCCAGGATCTACCAGGTATAGACCCATTCCTGAGGACAGTCTCCCGGGATCTACCAGGTATAGACCTATCATTGAGGAAAGTCTCCCAGGGTTTACCAGGAATAGACCCATTCCTGATGACTGACCCACAGAGTCTTCTAGGTATAGACCCATCCCTAATGACTGACCCACAGAGTTTACCAGGTATAGATCCATCCCAGAGGACAGACTCCCAGGGTCTACAAGTTAAGACCCATTCCTGATGACTGACTCCCAAGGTCTACCAGGTATAGAACCATTCTTGATGAATAACGTTCAGGGTCTATCAGGTAGAGACTCACTCCTGATGAAAGACTTTCAGGGACTACCAGGTATAGAACCATTCCTGATGACTGACTTTCAGGGACTACCAGGTATAGACCCATTCCTGATGAATGACATTCAGGGTCTAACAGGTATAGAACCATTCCTGATGACAGACTCCCAGGGTCTACCAGGTATAGACCCATCCCTGATGACAGACTCCTAGGGTCTACCAGGTATAGACCCATACCTGATGACAGACTCCCAGGGTCTACCAGGTATAGACCCATCCCTGATGACAGACTCCCATGGTATACTAGGTATAGACCCATCCCTGATGACAGACTCCCAGGGTCTACCAGGTATAGACCCATCCCTGATGACAGACTCCCATGGTATACCAGGTATAGACCCATTCCTGAGGACAGTCTCCCGGGATCTACCAGGTATAGACCTATCATTGAGGACAGTCTCCCAGGGTTTACCAGGTATAGAGGCATCCCTAATGACTGACTCACAAAGTCTACCAGGTATATACCCATCCCTAATGACTGACTCACAGAGTCTACCAGGTATATACCCATCCCTAATGACTGACTCTCAGGGTATACCGGATATAGACCCATCACTAATGACTGACTCTCGGGATCTACCAGGTATAGACCCAACCCTGACGACTGACTCACAGTGTCTACCAGGTATAGACCCATCCAAAATGACTGACACACAGAGTTTACCAGGTATAGACCCATTCCTGATGACTGACTCTCAGGATCTACCAGGTATAGACCCATTCCTGACGACTGACTCCCAGGATCTACCAGGTATAGACTCATTCCTGACGACTGAATCTCAGGGTTTACCAGGTATAGATCCATCCAAAATGACTGACACACAGAGTTTACCAGGTATAGACTCATTCCTGAAGACTGACTCTCAGGATCTACCAGGTATAGACCCATCCCTAATGACTGACTCTCAGATTCTACCAGGTATAGACCCATCCCTGATGACAGACTCCTAGGTTCTACCAGGTATAGACCCATCCCTTATTACTGACTCACAGTCTACCAGGTATAGAACCATTCCTGATGACTGACTTTCAGGGTCTACCAGGTAAAGACCCACTCCTGATGAATGACTTTCAGGGACTACCAGGTACAGAACCATTCCTGATGACTGACTTTCAGGGTCTACCAGGTAAAGACCCACTCCTGATGAATGACTTTCAGGGACTACCAGGTACAGAACCATTCCTGATGACTGACTTTGAGGGACTACCAGGTTTAGACCCATTCCTGATGAATGACATTCAGGGTCTAACAGGTATAGAACCATTCCTGATGACTGACTTTCAGAGTCTACCAGGTAAAGACCAATCCCTGATGACTGACTCCCAGGCTCTACAAGGTATAGACCCATTCCTGATGAAGGTATAGACCCATCCCTTATTACTGACTCACAGTCTACCAGGTATAGACTCATCCCTGATGACTGAAGGTATAGACCCATCCCTAATGACTGACTCACAGTGTCTACCAGGTACAGACCCATCCCTAATGACTGACTCACAAAGTCTACCAGGTATATACCCATCCCTAATGACTGACTCACAGAGTCTACAAGGTATAGACCCATCCCTAATTACTGACTCACAGAGTCAACCAGGTATAGACCCATCCCTGATGACTGACTCACATAGTCTACCAGGCATAGACCCATCCCTAATGACTCACTCCCAGGGTCTACTAGTATAGACCCATTCCTGATTACTGACTCCCAGGGTCTACCAGGTATAGAACCATTCCTGATGAATGACATTCAGGGTCTACCAGGTATAGAACCATTCCTGATGACAGACTCCCAGGGACTACCAGGTATAGACCCATCCCTGATGACTGACTCACATAGTCTACCAGGCATAGACCCATCCCTAATGACTCACTCTCAGGGTTTACCAGGTATAGATCCAGTATAGACCCATCCCTGATGACTGACTCTCAGAGTTTACCAGGTATAGATCCAACCCTAAGAACTGACTCACAGTGTCTACCAGGTACAGACCCATCCCTAATGACTGACTCACAAAGTCTACCAGGTATAGACCCATCCCTGATGACTGACTCACAGAGTCTACAAGGGATAGACTTTACCAGGTATAGATCCATCCCAGAGGACAGACTCCCAGGGTCTACTAGTATAGACCCATTCCTGATTACTGACTCCCAGGGTCTACCAGGTATAGACCCAGCCCTGATGACAGACTCCCATGGTATACTCGGTATAGACCCATCCCTGATGACAGACTCCCATGGTATACTCGGTATAGACCCATCCCTGATGACAGACTCCCATGGTATACTAGGTATAGACCCATCCCTGATGACAGACTCCCAGGGTCTACCAGGTATAGACCCAGCCCTGATGACAGACTCCCATGGTATACTCGGTATAGACCCATCCCTGATGACAGACTCCTAGGTTCTACCAGGTATAGACCCATCCCTTATTACTGACTCACAGTCTACCAGGTATAGACTCATCCCTGATGACTGAAGGTATAGACCCATCCCTAATGACTGACTCACAGAGTCTACAAGGTATAGACCCATCCCTAATTACTGACTCACAGAGTCAACCAGGTATAGACCCGACCCATCCAAAATGACTGACACACAGAGCTTACCAGGTATAGACTCATTCCTGAAGACTGACTCTCAGGATCTACCAGGTATAGACCCATTCCTGATGAATGACATTCAGGGTCTACCAGGTATAGACCCATCCATAATGACATACTCCAAGGGTCTGCTAAGTCTAGACATATCACTGAGGACGAACGCCCAGGGTCACCAGATATAGACCCATCCTTGATGACAGGCTCCCAGGATCTACCATGTATAGACTCATTCCTGACGACTGACTCTCAGGGTTTACCAGGTATAGACCCATCCCTAATAAGTGACTCACAGGGTTTACCAGGTATAGACCCATCCCTAATTGCTGACTCCCAGGGTTTACCAGGAATAGACTCATCCCTAATGATTGACCCATAGAGTCTACTAGGTATAGACCCATCCCTAATGACTGACCCACAGAGTTTACCAGGTATAGATCCATCCCAGAGGACAGACTCCCAGGGTCTACTAGTATAGACCAATTCCTGATTACTGACTCCCAGGGTCTACCAGGTATAGAACCATTCTTGATGAATAACTTTCAGGGTCTACCAGGTAAAGACCCACTCCTGATGAATGACTTTCAGGGACTACCAGGTATAGAACCATTCCTGATGACTGACTTTCAGGGTCTACCAGGTAAAGACCAATCCCTGATGACTGACTCCCAGGTTCTACAAGGTATAGACCCATTCCTGATGAATGACATTCAGGGTCTACCAGGTATAGACCCATCCATAATGACATACTCCAAGGGTCTGCTAAGTCTAGACATATCACTGAGGACGAACTCCCAGGGTCACCAGATATAGACCCATCCTTGATGACAGACTGCCAGGATCTACCAGGTATATACTCATTCCTGACGACTGACTCTCGAAGATTACCAGGTATATACCTATCATTGAGGACAGTCTCCCAGGGTTTACCAGGTATAGAGACATCCCTAATGACTGACTAACAGATTCTACCAGGTATAGACCCACCCCTGATGACTGACTCTCCGGGTTTGACAGGTATAGACCCATCCCTAATGACTGACTCTCAGAGTG